TTTAAGATCCATTGCAGTATGATATATTAAATCTGATTACTGTAGCCACTTGCATTTAAAATTTGCTACTTAGAAGCATAAGAAGTAAAGCATTGAATGAACATTTTAGCATCTATAGAAAATTGCTCTTAAAAACCAGCTGTTTTGACTCTGGCCAAGAGTGTGAAAGCCATTACAACTTTGTTCATTGATGAACTTTGAACTTTGTTCAAAGACGTGTGTCATTTCAGTTAAAGTTTTAAAACTTGTGTAATCTGGGCAACAGTGAGTTCTTTTGTACTGTTTCTGCCTGTATTTGTGAAGCTCCTGCTGCAAAGAATCCTATTCATTTGAAAATGAGAACATTTGAGAACACCTATAACATGAGCAACAATCATAGTTCAACTGGCCAAACACTGATTTACAGTATTTTGTGTAGGAAGATTACTGACAGGCAGGATTCCAAAATACTTCAACAACCTTAAAAATGTTTCCAAGAAAATGTTACTGATTTTAATAATGACTATGCAATACATAGGAAATATGAATGCTGGAGGTCAAGAGATCAGCAAAGACTTCTCAGCAACATGGATTTAACACCGGAAGCAATGGGGAAAGTGTAAAGTTAAACTGTTCAGCTAAGGACAGAACGGAAACTGAGGCAAGAAAAAGAAAACATAAGGTCATAAACATGATGACATCTCTGTACTAGGAAAATGACTCACTAGGTTTTAAAACCTAGGGTACAAAAAGTTCATATAGATTCTAAAAAGTAAGGCAGAGTTGGTAATCATATCATGTTTTCACCACAGATAAATCTATTTCCCCTTTCAATTAAAAGGTCAGGGGGATCAAATGCAATCAGATAAAGCACATGGTAAATCACATACTCAAAATACTCTCTTTAATTAGTTATGAAATATAATAATGTTTCAATGAATTCTTCTCAGGTTAAGTAGAGAAGGGATTTTCTTCAAGGTATTTAGACACACAGGAAAAAAATTCCAGAGTTTTAAGTGAAAAGAAAAGCATAATGTTCTGACTTGCTTACATCTAAAACACATCAACTAATTAAAACAGCTGAGGAAAGTGTCATGATCATCTCTGTACTTTCGAATGAGGAGAAATTCAAATGCTTGAGAAGTTGAGTTTTCTGGCTTTGCCTCAGGAAATCTCTCAAGCACGTTCTTATCTTTAAGCACAGATGTTCCCATGGAAATTACTGCTGGTGCCCCAGCAACTTGCAAGATCAAGTTCTTGAAATGTTTTATGTTTGTTTTCTTTCATTACCTTGCATATATTTTGCAGGTTCTACTACAGCAAAGCAGCAAGCTGCTACATGTCTCTTGTAACTGTGGGTACAGAGGAATTTACAAAGTAAGCGTTTTGTTTTATATTTTGTGAAATTTGTGCTCTTACATCAAGTCTTTGCTGTAGATTAATTGTAGCACAGAAATGCTGCAAAACTGATAGACATTCAATGGAGAGGGATGGGAGATATTGCTTCTTTGCTGTCAAAAGCCATTTACTTGTGGCATAGTTTATGGAGCAAGAGCAATTTATCATGAGTTTTATTACATTGCATGTGAGGTTGGGTAATGAGTTAACAAAACTGCATTGTTTGCTAACAGGAGTCATAGCATTTTGTAAAGGAGAGGAACCTCTTATGAAGTAATACAAAAATATGCTGGCTGTCATATGGGTAAAGGAAATAATCTGCATTCATTTCTTAGTAATAAAGGGGTTTGAGGTTGTGCAAATACACCAATGCAAGATGGTCTTTAACTATTTAAGAGACAGATTACTCAATAATGACTTCTTTCCTAGTTCTTCCTGTTTTGTTCATAGTACTTTTACCATTTTTTTGCACTTACAACCTACTCTTTGCTTCTAGAGAAAAAGAAAGTACTTTTATATGTAGATGGTTTACTGCTGGCAGTATATAAAACTGTGCTTTCCTTACATTTTAATGCAACCTCTACCCTTGTTTTGCGTTCAGTTAATATTTTGTGAAGCAAAACAACATTCTCTTCTCCTCCATTGTTTCTGTTGATTCTGTGTCTTGGGATTTTGACAGGAAAAGAGGCTCCAATTTAAAGTCAGAGTTAGCAACTAAGGGCTTCAAGAATACAGACTAAGCAATTATCACAGAAGTGGCCAGAACAGCTAGTTTGAACGTGGGTCCAAGATTTTCCAAAATTTTCCTTTAAGCATTCGTTCTGGTTACAGCTGACTCTAATAATCACAGTTAATACTCATTTTATTCACAATGTCCTGTTTGCAACATCTAGACAGGCATTTAGAATCCTGATTTCTGCCAAGGACTTCCAGGCAACACAGTAATAGGCAAATGCTAACACTGCTGTCAGTAACAGAAAGATTACCACTATAATTTAAAAGACTGTAAGTGGAAAATAGATTGACCTCTGTTGTCAGACTTTTCCTTAAAAATGAAACAAAAAGGTAAATTCAGATCCAAAATCTAGTTACTTGGTTTCTTGGCATAGTTTTGATGCAACAAATATTTCTAAATGTGTAAAATAAAGTATACCCCAAATCTGTGTAAGCCTCACTTTTCTATTTTTTTAACCTGGATATTTAAGCTAGGGTAGAATGGCCAGCACTGTGACCCTTCTGATCCTATGCTGGTCAGGTAAGGCATGAGGCTCTGCACTGGGACACAAGAAAAGGTTTTTAGTTTACACTCTGGAGAAGCAGTTGCAGTCTTTCAAAATGTGGAAATTTGAAACACTGCAGCCTATGGACTACTCTACATTTTCTGACACAAGAAAGAACGAATAAACCGCATCCTCTGTACATACCAGGCTCAGGTAAAACAGCACTTGCTGGTATGAGAATGCACCTTCTGTTTACTCTCCGTGTAAAAAATGCAACTTGTGAAACTTATGCCTCTGATAGCACATTATTTACTATTCTTTGGAAGTTACTTTGCTTTAAAAATGTTTCAAGGTTTTGTTTTTTTTTATTTCAGCTTGGAAGATGCTGTTGGACTTTGAATTACCTGTCTCTAGGGAAGGAAGCCAGTTAAAAACCAGTGACTCTTGATTCATCTTTCACACAAATATTATGATGTTACTCCAGGGTCCTAGGATGAATAATATCAAATAAACCTCCAAGATTTTAAGATAAGATTTGAGGTGTGCATGATGACGTGCCACGTAATAGAAGCTGGGTTTAAAGTTTCTTCTGTTGCTGGTAGTCAGTGGCCCTGGAGGCTGGGCTGTTGCATCAGAGTAGCTGAATGAGCCATTATTTCAACTCTGTCTCTTATAAAGAGAATGTTCAATATCTGTGATGAGTATTTTACTGAGATGTACTTTTGTAGATTATTAGATTTCTCTTTTCTTAAAGAAATCCCCTTCAACTATTTACAGCTGTCTCAAACTTGTTAAAAAACTTTCTGATCTCTCAGTTCTTCCATCTATTGAATTATGTATTTAGTTAAAATTAGGTTCTTAGTCTGATTGGTTCTGTCATCATTTCACATATTGGCATATTCATGATAACTGAATGCAAATGGAAGCATGAAGACACTCAAACAAATTTAAATTTTTATTTGAGTGAATACTGTTTGAAGGTTTGGCCTGGTATTGTTCAAAATGCAGTGCTTCTGATTCAGAAATTATAAACTCACAAGAGAGAGTGCTAGAAATAATCCCTGGATGTCTTGTTCTTATTAGCTATAGGCTAAATCATTCTGACAGATTTCAAACCTACTGAAATATTATTCATTAAAATGTTGATGTTGATTTCAGCATTACTGGGAGCACATCTTACTTATACCTTTAAAGGTGACTATGAAAGAGGGGGAAGACAAGTATATATGGTGAAAAACAGGGTGAGAAAAGAAACGGAGAGCTGATTGTGTGAAAAAGAAAGAGACACTCTGGGAAAGCAGCAGACAAAAGGGAAAGAAAAAGATCCTAATTTTTGTAAGTATGTCTCTCTAGGACTGATACGTGCCAAACCTTGGACTTGGAGGCTGTTCTGTCCTTAATACATTGCACATGATTGTCTGAGCTAGAAAAACATTTTTTTGTGGTTTTTAAAAAATTGAATTATACTTATATGAAATAAAACAAACTATGAGTTTAAATGGTAGAGTAGAAAGAGACAAAATTCATTTTGCAATCCCTCAGAGAATTTAAAAATCCCTTATGTTCACAAAACCTCAAAATTCATAAGGTTCCTGTATTCCCAGAGTAGGATGCACAAAGGAGTTACTTCCATCTACTTTAGTTAAGTTTTCATCAGACTCTTTCTGTTCAGCTAACTGATTCTCCTCTCAAGACATCTTTGTATTAAGGGCGAGATCCAAAACATCCCACTGACACTTCCTGTGCAGTCTAGATAGAAGTTTGCTAGGGAGAGGGGTTATAAAACCTTGGTAACTTTCAAAGCTACAAGACCATAGGCAGTTGAGTATGACTATGAATGTTTATTTCAGCACCTATGCCTTGCTCCAGGTAGGCTTATTTGCCTTTTAGGATCTGCATCTTCATCCGTTGGAAGTATTCGATGTGTCTAAACCACAGAGATGGTCCTTCATGTATTCCTTAAAAAAATTATCTCCTGTTGGCTGCCTGTAGGTAATTTCCCACTTAACAGGGGGTTTTAGCTTGTTCCTCAGGAATGCCATTCCCCATCCGATATGATGTCTAGGCTCTCATCTTAGTGTTTTTAAGAGACTAACAGGGTCCATTTTTCAGACATTGGACTGCCTACTGAAGCAATGTGGAGCTGGCTTTATGTGTTAGCTCCAAATGGAAGCAAACGCTTGTGGCATTCAAACCTGCAAAGCCCATGTATCTTCGAGGTAAGTAATGCCTACCAAGTGGGTGCCAAAGCAGGTGTGTGTGTGGAGTTAGTGAAACAAGTTGATATGAATAGTCAGTATCAGTAGACTCTGATAATCAACAGAGATACAGGGGCTGGGTGAATATAAGAATGGCTGTGCTAGGTCAAAACAAGGATTCACCCAGCCCAACAGGCTGTCTGTGATACCTATCTGACAAGGAAGCATTCTGATCATGAAGGTGTTTTTTTGAGAGTGAGCCTCATCACTAGCACTTCGGGTAGACTGATTCCTGCAACTTCCCCAGATCCAGGGAACTTGACAATAAAATTTGTGATGTGGGAAACTGTTTTTGTTCTTTTTCCTGAATTAAAACATATTGCTACCTCCAAACTACCAGTAATCTTAAGTGGATGCCCAGGGAAAAAAACAGGAAAAGGTGATCTGGTTGCTGCTTAAGCCCATATCAACTTCTGTCATCTTTGATGTTGCTACAGGGATTTCCATCCACTTAATGAGAACTATGCCTTTTAGTTCAGTTTGAATTTTTTCTCGGAGCTTCATTCGATAGTGCTCACTTTTGAATTGGTAGGTGCAGGACAAAATTTGTGCCAGACTACCCTCTCCATGACACTTTTAATTTTACACACCTCTGCCACATCCCTCACTCGTCTCTTTCCTTGACTGTACAGTCCTGAGTAATTTGATCATTTTCTTACATTGTTGCAGACTTCTAGTCATCTATCCTTGCTCTTTCACAATTTTTCTTTATTGTGAAGCATGTTCTGAGCCACATTTCTTTGTTCAGCTTTGGAGCTAACTCTATATTTTAGGTTGAGTCTAGTCAGGAGTCTTCTTCCTTCACTATTAGTCTAAAAAATGTTGTGTAGTGACTCATTTTTCTAAGGACATATTTATATACAAGCGCGTGTGTGAGTATATGTGAATACTTGAGATCTGCTTCACCTGCTCTTCTACCGTGGATGACACAAAGCTGTTGACACATTATTGTATCTGCAGCAGGTTTGGGAACTCAGATGTCCTGGCCACTATATGACCCTGTGAGTGGAGAGTCACACAGGCTCTTTCTCACACTCAAATTACAGGATCATCATTTATGCCATATGCAGTACAACTGCTTCAGGGACACCCTTCCTGCAGGGACACCATCCTGCAGCATGGTCTTGCCTGCTACTTCAGGTCATCTCTGAGAGATGGCAGAGGTGATTTTGCACTTGCTTGGGATCTGGGAGCAGGTTTTTCTTATCTTCTGTGTTTGCTAAGCTGTTGTGTTACTGGACTTCTCCTCCTTCAAGTGAAACAGCAGCTGATACTTCCTCCAGGACTTGCTCCTATAGGTGTAGGGAGTGGGTTCATGTGCCACACAGCACTAGGAAATATGCACAGTGGCACTGCGATATCAGAGGTCATGGGTCACAGAGCAGTTGCTGGTGACTTTTGATCACGTGCAGGTGATAGTGTACTGAAGAACTCTGCTGACAAAGACATAGGTGCATGCAGGATTAGGCAACAAGAAAGACAGAATCGTAGGATTTTATTTGGGACTGAATAAGTACAAAAAACTGGATCTGCATCAGGTGTTCTGTATTGCATAGAAAGCTGTTGGAACAGCTATTGCATTGTCATTGTTGTCAATGTCGTACAGCACTGTCAACCTGTATAAGAGGTCAATAATATCCTAGGTGCCTGATGTGGACTTACTAAGGAAATATCTCTATGGGTTCATAAAGGTGATATTACTGTTATCCCTGCATAACACATGGACTTGGGGCCCAGAAGTGACACCTGTTGTCTGGAGTCCCAG